GGGGGTGCCCTAGGGAAGCTGAGGAGGCAGGGAGAGGTTTGGGGGGATCAGAGGGTGAGGAGGGTAAGGATTGGAGAGGAATCTCCAACCCTTCAGGGCTAGGCTTGCTGTCCCTTGGGAGATTCCAGTGTGAACTCCACGAGTTGCTTCCTGTGTATAAACCCATCTCTCCCCCTGCTCCCCCAGATCAACAAGATGGAGTGGTGGAGCCGCGTGGTCTCCACTGACCCTGAGATCAACACCAAGAAGATTAACCCAGAGAACTCTAAGGTGAGCCAGCAGCGGGCATCTGGGCAGGGCTGGCATTGAGCCCGGGGTAGCTCACAGTGGGGGCGCTTATCCTCCTCCTTGCCTGCCTCCCGTGCCAGCTGTCTGACCTCGATAGTGAGACCCGAAGTATGGTGGAGAAGATGATGTATGACCAGCGGCAGAAATCCATGGGCCTGCCAACCTCGGAGGAACAAAAGAAGCAGGAGATTCTGAAAAAGTGAGTGTCATTGGGGCCCTAGCGGGCCCCTGAGGAGAACTGTGCTGGCCATCTTTATGCTTTTATAGCACCCCCACACCCATAGGGCCATCTCCAGGGCAAGGCCAATCCTGGCCTAACCAGTAGTCATCGCCCCAGCCTGGGGACGGATGCTGGTGTTGGCACCTCGGTTTCCAACCTCTTGGGGCTGTTCCTAGGTCATGAGGCAGGGAAGCCCTGTCCTTCACCCTCATCTCCTAGCTCTGGCCTGTTTCTGGCTCACTCTCTCTCGCTCTCTTCCCTAGGTTTATGGAGCAGCATCCAGAAATGGACTTTTCCAAAGCCAAATTCAACTAGCATCTTCATACCCCCAACCTTTCCCTTGGGATCCTATGCTCCTCCTCCCCCTTGCCTGACCTCTTTGGACACCTTCTACCCTAGAGGAAGGATTGTAATGCAGGGCCAGGCACAGGATCCCTGGCCCTGGGTGGGCCTTCAGCCCCAAAGGCAACTCCCAGGACTGTTCCTGGAGCCTCCAGGGTGGGAGGAGAAAGCAGCTTGTACTCCCCTCTGCCTGTTACAGAAGTAAAGGAACGTTTGACCCTGGCCTGTTGTCTTTTCATTAACACCTCCCACGGTGCCCACTGACAGGTGGGACCCCCTACCCCCTCTTTGGCCCCTGCTGCGTGGAGAGGGTAAGCACTCTGAATGGCATTGGCCCAGGCTTCTCTGGCCTGAGCTAGGCTCCTGCCCCCTGGGTAAAGTCCAGCTCTGAGGCCCCTTGTTTGTTCCTCTACAGGGAGCCAAGGTCTTTTGCTGTGCCCGAGGTATCTGGGGCCAATGCCCTGGCAGCTGGAGGGAAGGCCACAGCCGCCTGGCTAGATTGGTTTGTCAGGAGCACTTCTGGGCTGTGGGGCCCCGGGATGCTTCAGCAGGGCACCTGAAAGGGACTAGAAATGTCAGCTCTAGAGACCTTCCATTACAGACTTGCCCGTTTTCAAGAGCCAGGACTATTTTTCAGAGCTGTCTCTGGGGGCCACGAGCCCACTACTTGTCTGTTGTTGGGCAGAGGTTCACTTCCTGACTGATACTTCATACCAAGAACTTGCTGCCCTGAATGGGAATGTGGGTCAGGTCCCTCATCTCAGACCTTGGCAGTGCTGGCCAGACCTCCCCAAGGCCATTGGAACAGGTGTTTCCTTCAGGTGACCTCACTCTGCCCAGACAGGAAACGTTGGTCTGAAAAAACTAACCCTCGGCTCCCAGGAGAGCTTTCTCCCACCCTGGGCACAGGGTCCAAGGCTTGAGTGCTGCACGGTGGTCTTTCAGCCCCTCCTTCGTGTTCCCCCCAAGCCAAAGGACTCTAGGGTAAAGAAAGAGGCGGCTAAGCGGGATTCCTGCTCCAGGCCCACCAGCTGTGTGACCTCGAGCAAGTGTGTGAACCTGAATTGTCTCAACAGCTTTATTAATATCATACAAGCTTCTTGATCACAGAAGACGCAGGCTTTCATGAGTTAAGAGCAACCAGTTGAAGTGTAACCAGTAATACGGATCTGTAGCCATAGTCACATAATCCCAAATGAACCTGTCACCCAGAAAGGCTGGGGAGGGCTTCCTAGTTGAAGGAGAGACGAAAAGGAAAGCACGAAACCCACCCATTCACTAGGAAAGCAGAAAGCCCTTGGAGCCTGCAGGGCCCTGGAAATCCCTCCCCTGAAGAGCTGGAGAGAAAAGCCCTTGGGGATTAGGGGAAAGGCTCTGAAACCTAGTACTTCATGGAATCAGGAAATTAATGTGAGGTGTGGGGAAGGGGGTAAACAGTGGGTGCGCCGCTGGAAGGGTGGTGAGGGTGGTCACACCTCCAAAGGCATTACCGTCCAGAGCCTGCAGCCTGGTTTTAGGGTGTGAGTCCATCCCCAGACCTGCTTAGAAGGTGACCCACTGGAAGGGGGAAGAAGAATTGTTCGTGGGGGCCCATCTGTCCTGCCTGCAGTCCCAGGAGGCCCCCGAGGGCTGGGGTAGGGGCTAGCAGTACACTTGGAGCAGGGGTGCCCCTGAGGAGTCTGTCTCAGTTCCCTGGAAGGAGGAGTCGTGGCTTGGCAGATAACCTAAGGAGAAAAGACAAGGAGGGAAGGTGAGATTCAGGCAGCAGAGCTGGGGAGGGGGGCTTTCTCCCCATTTACCCCTAGAGAGCCACAGAATACAAGCTGACAAATCAATCAGAAGCTCTGGGATCTCATTCATTGACTTGCTTCTCCTCTGGGCTTCAATTTCCCAATCTGCAAAATGGGAATAATGCCCATCTTCTTCCTTCAGGGGGTCACAGCCGATAATCCTGTCTCTTCTCTCAAAAGATGAATGAATGCAGGCAGGGCTCAGCCTATCCTCTGGAAGCCCCATCTCTTCAAATCATTTTCTCACTGGCCTACAGACAGGCCTGCTGCTGCTAGCTGGATGTGTTTCCTCCCCTGCCTCTCCCTCCCAAGGTCTTATTCATCAGATAGGAAGGATGTTAAAAGGTCACTCATTCTAAGCCCCTGGCTGTGGAAAAGAAACTGAAACTACAACATCATAGACTGAGAGCTGGATAGGCCCTCAGGGGTCATGTGGTTCAACCCCCTCATTTTATAGATGAGGAAATAGGCCCAGAAATAGGCTGTGGCTTGGACAAAGCTACATGGGGAGTAGGGGGCAGAGCTGGCATTAAAACCCTGGTCTTTGGACTCCCAAGCCTCCGTGGCTGTCTGCCAGGCCCCAGCCTGAAGGGACTGATCTCTGCACGGCTCTCTTCCCTCCCCACTAAGCCCATGTTGGGGATCCAGACCTGGAGCTCCGTAGGGCCTCAGTTTCCGGGCGATGGCATCTGACGTCGTTTCCTGGGAGATCTGCACAGTCAGCTCTGAGAAAAGGAATGATAGGGTGTCTCAGTCTCCAAAGCCCCCCGTGAGGCGTGGTTATGGCCTAACCAGTCTTCCCTCAGCTCCCCTTCTATCCTTAAAGGCAGACAGGGAAAGCCCCAGGCCATGTTTATCCTGGAGAATACAACGGAGGGGAAGGAGGACAAAAGAGGACAACCGTCCCCATATTAGAACATCTCTGCTAGGGATGAGGCATTGGAACTGTCAGGAGCAGAACCAGGAAAAATGGGTGGGAGTTGCAGAGACAGTGACGGTGATGTTAGGCTTCATGTCGGGGACCCATCCAATTATCAGGACTCTCCCAAAGCGAAAGGGCACGTGAGGGGTGGGGTACAGAGGCGTGCCCCATCACTAGAAGTGATGACTCCTTGCTAAGGACGTTCTCATGCAGCTACAGGCTGGACTCTGACCTCTGAGCTCCCTCCCATTCTGGGCCTCCGGCTTCCCAGCCATTTGGGCCACTCAGGAACCTGGGCCAATTCCACCAGATCTAGACTGAGCTGATGAAGGCAGAGGCCAGGGATGAGTGGAGGCACAGAACAATATCCTAGAAAAAGAGCTTAGGGTTCGGAGTGGGGAGCCCTCCTTCTAGACCTGGTTCTGCCATTTGTTAGCTTCATCACCTTGGTCAAGTCAGATAACCCCTCTGGGCTTTAATCTGTCAAATGGGGAGAATACCTGCCCTTACATCCTTCCTTCACAGGGCTGTTATGACAGCCTAACATTAGGGCTTTGGGAATGAACCCTAAACACAGACATGCCTAGGAGCTATTCCTAGTGAGAGTACAGGCCCATCCTGGCTGGAGGTGGAACGGGGCAGAGGGACTACAGAAATGCACACTATTCTGGCTGCCGTACTTGTCTATGTGTATATAAATCCAGCTCATTTCTGCCTTCACTGTTCCCTTTCTCAATCCATGCCCTTATGCACAGATCAAATCCTATTACTCTCCCGATTTTCCGTGCCTTCCTACCACCTAAGTTGAAATTCTTTTGCCTCTTCTACAAATCCCCCGTCTTGCCCAAAGTCTGGTACCACCCACTCAGACCGTCTCGTATTTGCTGCCGACCAAGAGCGTGGGTTAGTAACTGGCCCCGGGTCCTCACCTCCCTGCCTGCCTGCTCACACTGCTGTGTGGATTCTTCCCCTTCCTCTCTTCCTTTGATGGAGATAGGCTCATTATACACAGATACCCCAAATACCCATACCTTCAGGAAGCCTTTTCCAATGCCTGGATTTTGGTAGAAACCCTTTCCTCATCTCCCAGCACTCCCTATCTCCCTGATGTACTAAAGATACGACATTTTGTCCAGGGTATATCTGCGTCTGATCATTCCCCCTCCTAGACTGAGTTTTAGGAGGGCAAGATCGGCATCTCAGATCATTTCTTTATCCCCTCCAGGACCTAGTACATTGCTCTGAACACTGAAGAACTGCAGGATGGAGGGCTGGAAGGGTCAGCAGAGACCGCTAGTCCAGCCTCATCTTACCAAGGAGGAAGCAGGCTTGGGAAGGACAATGACACGGCCAGAGAGCCTGGGATGGCTGGTGGAGCTGGCGGGGACGGGAAGGACATACCGTCCTGGCTGAGCACTGAGGCCACCATGGTGTCGGTGCCGCTGTCAGGGGCGGGGCCCCGGCTCAGGCGGCTCTCCGAGGCGGTGGTCGGGCGGCTGCGGCTCTTGCGGGTGCTGATGCGGATGATGCCACGGACCAGGCGGCACTCGGCGTCCTGCTCGTCCAGGTGGTAGTCCTGCGTGATGCTGCTGATGAGGTCGGAGATCTTATTGGTCTTCTCCAGGAACACTGTGTCCGAGGTGCACTTGGCCAGCTCGTCGATCTGGTGCATGCTGAACAGCTCCGTCAGCTTCTTAAAGATGAGCACGTCAATCTCCCGGCTGCTCATGGAGCCGCCGCTCAGCTCGGGGAGGTCGAGGTCTGACTCGTGGAAGGAGTAATACTCCTCTGAGCTCCGCAGGCTCCCGCCTAAGGTCCCAGGCAGGCTGTCTCGGGGCGGCTGCTCGGTCAGCGGCTCCTTGTAACAAGAGTCAGCGTCTGGGGGGGAGGCTGGCGCACCCCGATACGGGTACACGGGGATGCCCTTCAGCTTGACGTCGGGGTAGCTGAAGCTGCTGCCAATGGGCGACTTGGACCTCTCTCTGTCTCGCCGGCTGGGAGGGGCAATGGCCGGGCTGTTGGGGGGCGGGCCGCCGTTGTGTTCCTTACCCCAGCCCTCATCAGGAAAGCTCTCTGGAGGGCCCAGGGAGGGCAGGCAGGCCTCACAGCTGCGCATACAACCCCCGCAGCGCTGATAGCAGGCCCGACAGCGGCGGAAACAGAATACAGCCTTGCATAAGTTCCACACCCACGGTCGGGGGAGGCAGCAGGTCGTGGTGTCCAGGGGGGCCTCGGCTGAGCCAGAGATGAAGGTGACGCTCTCCGACTCTCGAGCGCCGGGGTCTTTGGGGCCGGGCCGGCGGACCCGTCGGGGTGTGGCTGGCTGGGCCGGCCGGCGGCTTGGCTTGACTTGGGGTGTAGCTGCACCGTACACCTCAAGACAGACCGCTCGGGGAGAGATACCTGCTGGCCGCTCCCATGGGGAGGCCTGGCCTGGCCGAGCAGGGCAGGATGGCGGGCGAGGATGTCCGGAACGCCGGCCAGGCATGGCTCACCACATTACAGGTGCCTGAGGGGAAGGGGGCAAGGGGACAGTGAGAGGAAGGCTGTATGACCCCAACCTCCCCCAACTCATACCCTTTTCCCCTCCCTTCCCTGCTAGGGAAAACAATGGGCCTTGTATTGGGAGGTGAGGAGGACACAGGCGAGAAGGGTAACCTGGACTAGTTGCCCTGAGCATATGCCCAGCCAGCTTACTTCTTCCCCGAGGCCTACAAGGTCATGAGAATGCTAGAGGCCCAGGAAAACAACTCATGAGTCTTTATTCCCAAGTCCTCTCCCCCAAATCAGGCCAAAAAACCAGGGTTGGAGTGACCTTTGGGAGCTATTACCTCTGTCCAGTTCCTTCTGTGGCCACCAATGGTGGTAGCAGAAATGGACCTGGGCAGGAGAAGGCACACCACCCTGCCCGCGGTCACCTGGAAAGTGAGGTTGAGCTTCTTCCACACTCTCTCCCCTCCCAGTCTCCTCCTCCTCTGGAGCTCCAAAAGGTCGGCTGGTAAGTCGGCCCAGCCTGGGGCCTGCCCATGGCAGCCTCTCTCTCTCTCTCTCTCTCTCACACACACCCTGCCCAGGAGCTGACAACAAATTCCTCATTTTCAAAGCAGCCCAGAGAGCCTTGTCCCCTACCCTCTCCCCACCCCCTCTTCCTCATCCTACCCACTCCCCCAGGGAGCTCCTAGGCCAAGCTCAATCGGGGCTCAGGCCCAAGGGGATGAGACATTCACTAGTCACTGAAGCTAGGTAGGGCCTGCCCCTCCCACCTCTCTCCTCTGACTCCCTTCTGAGGTGTCAGGAACCCAGCCCCTGCCGCCCGACAGGCTCAGTGTTTGGAGGAGGGAGAGTAGCTTGGGCACTCTGCCCATCCAAGGCAAACTCCTTCATGGGCTTCTCTCTACATGCCTCCTGCCTCTCAATGGCCATTCCCCAAGGCTTCCCTCACCCATGCCTATGGCTTCAGCTATGTAGCCCAGGCTTTCCCCAAATGAGATCTCCAATGGCTTTAGAATATTCTATTTCAAGTAAGATAGCAGTGGTGAAAAGCACTTAGCACAGTGCCTGGCACATAGTAGATGCTACGTAAATGCCCATTCCCTTCCCGTTGGGAAAGGGCTCCTACCAGCACCTCAAACTTAGCTCATTTGCTTTTCCCCAAAACTGGCTCTTCCCAACTTCCCTGTCTTTGCCACTGGCTCTGAACATCGTCCCAGGGTTGGATACTTCAGAACCAACGTTGGCTCTTTGCTCTCCTCTGCCCTCCCACAACCAGATCATTGCCAAATCTTTCTGGTCCTCTCTTTCTATGGTACCTGTCCTCTCCTCCAGTGCCCAGGCCCTCTTTTCTCTTTCCTGAACTATCTCAGAGAACCTCCTAACTGTTTCCTTGACCTTCTTCATCCACCCAGGGTCAGTCTGTTCAGAGCCAGGGCAATTTTTCTTTTTTTAAGGCAATCGGGGTTAAACAACTTGCCCAGGGTCACATAGCTGATTAAGTGTCTGAAAACAAATTTTCATTAAATATCACTGTCTTGTTACTCATGACCCTCCAGTCACCCACCTCTGACTTTAGCATGAAGCCCCTCACTCCACAGCTTGGCCTCCAAGGCTTTCCATGATCTGGACCCAACCTACCTTTTTGGTCTGATCTTTCTCTGCTTTCTTTTATGTTCTCCACACTGGCCAGGCTGGGTACCTTGCCGTCTCCTGCATATCCATACAAATGACAATAAAACAGATGCTTATGTTCCCAACCCTGTGCCTTGCTCAGACCACTACCCTTACCTAGAATGCCCTTCTCTCTCCTTTCCACCAATCCACGAGCATTGTCTTGTCCAAGACGCACCCCCTTCAAGAACCCTTCCTAGACTGACCTCAAAGCCCTGTTCCTTAGAGTCACACTGCTGTGTGACCTACATCTTCTTGGCTTTGCTCCCAGTTTCTTGGTTGTCTGTTTTTCCGATCACAGTCTTGGATGAGGACCAGGACTTTGGCTTCCTTGGGTTCCCCCTCAGCACCCTGAGTTGGAGGGAGGTGAAAGGGTCAGATGAGCTGGTCATCAGCAGAATATGTAAGCAGACTGGTCTATTAGACCAAATGGACCTATCACAGTGCTATAGAAAAAAGTACAAACATAGCTGTCATTATCAACCTGGACTAATGAATATTTTTTTTTTAGTGAGGCAATTGGGGTTAAGTGATTTGCCCAGAGTCACACAGCTAGGAAGTATTATGTGTCTGAGGCAAGATTTGAACTCAGGTCATCCTGAATCCAGGGCCAATGCTCTATCCACTCTGCCACTTAGCTGCCTCAGAACTATGGAGTTGGAATGCAGATTGAAGCATACCATTTGCTATTTTTCCCTTCTGTTTTGTTTTGTTTCTTCTTTCTTGTGGTTCCTCCTATTGGTTCTAATTCTTCTTTACAACATGACTAATAAAAACAAAAGGTTTTTTTTTTTTTTACTTTTTAAAATTAATTTATTTTGACTTATCAGCAATCGCTTCCGTAAGCTTTCGAGTTTTAAATTTTTCTCCCCCTCCCTCCCCAAGATGGCACACAATCTGACATAGGCTATACATATACATTCCTATTAAAGCACAACTTGTTCAGCCATTCCGCAATTGATGGGCATCCCCTCAATTTCCAATTCTTTGACAGCACAAAAAGAGCTGCTATAAATATTTTTGTACATGTGGGTCCTTTCCCCATTTGTATGATCTCTTTAAAACTCAAAAGTTTATGGAAGTGATTGTTGAGAACTAAAAATTAATTTAAAAAATCAATTTTCTATTTCTTTTAATGCCTGATCTTCATATAATAGGTCCCTAATGAATGTTTGGGAATAGAATCCAGAATATGAGAACACTGTGTCAGAGGTTGAATGAATTCTAGTGCTTCCCTAGTCCAGCCTTCCTTTTACTGAGGAGGAAACGGAGGCCTAGAGAGGAAGAGTTAGCCACCAATGGATGATGCAAGTTTTGAAGCTGTAAAGAAGATATTCAAGACTGATAAAAGCTTGTTTCTTCAACACATGTGAATATTCAACTCAAATAAAGAGTTCTAAATGTTTGAGCTGGAGCCAGGACCCAGGTCCCCAAGGCAGAGGGGTTTGGGGTTTTTGCCTCTATTCCCCCTTAACCCCACTGTCACTTCTTGTACATCCTACAAAGGCAACTAAAGCCTAATCTTTGGTTTACCAATCCTGCCTTAATCTATCCTCATTGATGAGGCCACTCTCCACCCTCTTGGGTTAGCAGCCCGACTCATCCTGGGGGGTGGGATGTCTCACCCTTTCCTTGGTTCTAAGGTCAAAGGTAGCTCAAGGTGGGTGAGAATCAACCCTGTGATTTGTGTGTTCTCACCTGACCCCATCCCACTGCTATGCCTTTGATTTACAGAAGGGGAAGTAGCCCTAGCTCCCCCCATACATTTTGTGCACTTGAGACATGGACACATGCCCTGTAGAGGTTATTAGCCCTTGAGTCTTTATCCCATCTTTCATCCTCCCTGTTCCAGGTAGGACACCCTGGCTGGAAGAGAAGCAATACCCCCAACTTCCTCTATCCCACTGTGGGACAGGGGTCTTCCAGAATGGCGGTATCAAAAGAGAAATTGTTGCCACTAACCCATACCTAAGGATCCCTACAGGCTTCATATTGACTTAGAAAACCACATATTCACATTATCTAGGTTCTACTCTATTTTTTATCTCGGTAAATATTTCCTAATTACATTTTAACCTAGTCCCCATAGCACTCAAGGTCATATACCTCCTTTGGCCAGCATGTTTGACACCTCTATGGGGGGGTTGGGGTGGGGAGACAGTGCCATAAATTCTTCCCACCTGAAGCAGGACTTACAGGGCCTAGCAAGGAATCAGTGTTGAATCGACATTTGCTGACTTAACAACAAGTATGCAGACATTTCTACAGGGCCTGAAAGCTTGCAAAACAGTTTACGAGAACTATCCCATTTGAGCCTCACAATGTAATTCTAAGGTACCTGCAGCCTTTCCTGATCCTACCAACTGCTAGTGCTCTCCCCAAGCACCTTGTACTTCTCTTTATTTTCTTTATATTTGTCGTGTGTGTGTGTGATGTATGTGTGTATACATAGCATAAATATAAAATTTACATATAAATCCTTGTAAGCCTCTTGTGGAAATTGTTTTATTTGCTGTATTTCAGTCAGTCAATCGACAAGCATTTATCAAGGCCTATTATGTGCGAGGCACTGTGCTAAGTTTTTATCCTTATTTCCTGGCCCACAGTACATATTTAATAAATACCTGTTGACTGAGTTAGATACTATAGGTATCATTATCCCCATTTTACAAATGGGGAAGCTAAGGCAGAGAACGGTGAAGTGATTTGTCATCGTAAAACAGCTAATAAATGTCAGAGTCAGGACTGAAACACAGGTCTTATTAACTGCATGTCCAGATCACCCACTGATATAACAGTCCCTTGTATAACTCTAATTGATAGTTTATCGGCCATTAAGTGTCTGTGTGCAGTGTCTACTGTGCTAAGCTGGGGATACAAAAAACAGGCCAAAAAAAAAAAAAAGGAGCTGCCCTCAAGGAGTTCACAGTTTAATGAGGGAGATACCATGTAGACATCTACGTACAAATAAACTATGGACCAGACAAATTGAAAATAACCAACAGAGGGAAGGCATTAGAATTAGGAGGGATCAGGAAAGGCCTCTTGTAGAAGGTGAAATTTTAGCTGGGGCTTGAAGTGAAGCCAGGGAAGCCAGGAGGAAGAGGTGAAGAGTATTCCAGGCATGGGAGATAGACAGTGAAAATGCCCAGAACTGGGAGATGGACTGTCTTGTTTGAGGAACAGCAAAGAGGCCAGTGCCACTGGATCTAAGAGTATGGGGAGTGGAAGAAAGAAAAAGCAGGGGAGGGGGAGTTAAAATTTTAAAAGGCAGAAGATTGTCAGGTGCTAGGGAGACACTAGAGTTTACTGTGGGCAGGAGACAGAAAGAGAGAGGGATAGAGACGGGGGGGGGGCGGGTAAAGAGTTGAGGATGACGTCTATGTTGCAAGCCTGGTTGGTGACACCTTCATGAGTAATAGGGAAAATGGGGAAGCTAGGTGGCACAGTGGATAGAGCACTGGCCCTGGAGTCAGGAGGACCTGAGTTCAAATCTAGCCTCAGATACTTGATACTTAACTAGCTGTGTGACCCTGGGCAAGTCACTTAACCCCATTGCCTAGCAAAAAAAAAAAAAGAAAAAGAAAAAAAAAGTAATAATAGGGAAATTAGAAAGAAGGGGAGGGGAAAGATGAATTCTTTTTTGGACATGTTGGGTTTCAGATACCTAGAAGACCTCCCAGCAGCTGGAGATTTGCTATCAGAGGAGAAAGATCAAAACCGCATGAGTAGATTTGAGAATCATTAGCATGGAGATGATAACTGAATCCATGGCATCCCAGGTGACACAGTATAGAAAGGTAAGAAGAAAGGGCCTATGGCAGAGCCCCATGGAACACCAACAGTTAACTGGTATGACCTATATGAAGATCCAGCAAGGATACTGGGAAGGAATTGTCAGATAGGTAGGAGGAGAAGCAGGAGACAGTCGTGTCCTGAAAACCTAAAGAGTATCCAGGAGAAGCAGGTGGTCAATAGAGTGCAGAGAGGTCAAGGAGAAAGGTTTGAGAAAAGGCCTCTAATTTGGCCATTAAGAGATCACTGGTAACTTTGGAGACAATCATTTCAGTGGAATGATGAGGCTGGAAGCCAGACTGCAGAGAACCAAGGAAACAAGAGGAAAGGAAAGGGGCCGCTAATTGCAGGCGGCTTTCTCAAGGAGCTGAGCTATAAAGGGAGAGGGATGATGGCTAGTGGGGATGAAGGATCTAGTGAGGGTTTTTTCAGGATAGGGGAGACATGGGCATGTTTATAGGGAAGTAGCCAGTAGACAAGGAGAGAATGAAGATAAATGAGAGTGGGGATGATAGAGGGGGGTTAATTCGTTGGAAAATATGGGATAACTTGGAATCATTTGTGCATGTGGAATGGTTAACATTGGCAAGGATAAGGACCACCTCTTCATGAAGGACTGCGGTGGTGGAGGAGATGGTGGCAGAAGGCATCTGCCTGATAGGAGATGAGGAAAAGGGGAGAAGAGGGAGCTACTAGAATTCTGATTGAGGGGCAGACACAGATTTGAGTGAAGCTCAAAGGAGAAGTAACAGAGTGACGGTGGCAGGGGGAAGAACCTGGAAGTGGCAATAGGGAGGAAAGAGTATTCCAACCCACTCCCACCTCAACCAGTGAGTTGGGGGGAATAAGTGGAAGGGCAGTCAGTGCTGGAAAGGATGGCCAGGGTGGGTGGGTCATCCAGAGGAAGGCAGAAAACCCTATCTACTACTGGCCAACCAGGCGGCGTAGTGTGGTAGAAAAGCATTAGACTCAGTGATGAGACCGATGAGAACCGGCTCTGTCACAAACAAGCTGTGTGACCGAACGCATTTCTCAATTTTAAAGTTAGAATTATATTCACACTCTCTAGTTCACAGTGTTGTTGTGAGAAACTTTACAGTGCTGTATATCACTGTGTCTTGTCTATTATCGCCAGGACCCTTCCCAGCTCTGACCTTCCTTGTTCCAAAATCCTTTCTTGGCCTAGGTTTTAAGGGTGTTTTCAGCTCTGAGATGTCAGCTGACCAAAGGGCACTTGAAATTACACCAGATGATCTCCAAGATTCTGGTTTTGAAGACAGCCTCCCCAAAGTGGGGTTTCCTGGCCTTCTTCAATTCCCTTTGGGATTTTTTTTTACTTGCAGGAAGAGATGGTGAGCAGATGATTGGAAGGGGTTTGGGGGCAGGGATGGAGAATGCATTTACTCAAATAAATGTAAAAGGAAAGGACAAATGGCCTAGCCTTGGTATTCAAGGTAGCTGAGTTTAAGGTCTCAGTCACAAACTTATTGTGTGACCTTGGGCAAGTCACCTCACCTCTGGGCCTCAGTTTCCTCATCTATAAAATGAATGTATAATAAATAGATGTACAATATCTGCCCAGCCTTCATAGAAGTGTCTTAAGTACCAAATGAGAGGATGATGTGAAAAGCATCTTGCTAAGTTAAAGTGTGTATGAGTTAGTTACATCTGCTCAGGGATCTGGATGATCACGTCGTCATGTTCCCTCCTCTGCTCAGAATCTTTCCTTGGCTCTCTACTTCCTACTGAAGCAAATTAAAAAACTTCAGCCTAGCATTCAAGGCCCTTCCTAATCTGGTACTACCCGGCTTCCCAGCAGATCTCATGTTACTCCCCTCTGTGAACTCCATTCACTAGCCCAGCCAGACTACTTTCCATCCTCTGTTTATCAATTAACAAGCATTTAGAAGGCAAAGCAGGTGGTACAGTGGATACAGTTCTGGATCTGGAGTCAGAAAGACTTCAAAAATCCCACCGCAGATACCTGTGAGACCCGGGGCAAGTCATTTAACCTGTCTGCCTCAGTTTCCTCAGCAGTAAAATGGGGATAATAATAGCATCTACCCATGAAGATAAAAATAAGATATTTGTAAAACACTTTGCAAACCTTCCAGTGATAATATAAATGCTATTGTTGTTATTATTAAGCACCAGTGTGCTAAGTACTGTGTTAAACACTGGAGATACGAAGACAGGAATGAGAAAGTCCCTGCCTTTAGGCAGCTTACGGCAATGGCCATAATGGGCTCAGTCTTAAGAACAGTGATAAAGATAATAGCAGCAAACATTTATACAGTGCTTACCATGTGCCAGGCACTGTGTTACACGCTTCTCAAGTATTATCTCACTTGACCCTCACAATAACCCAGGGAGGCTAGTGTTCTTCTCCTCCACATGTTACAGATGAGTAAACAGAGGCAAACAGAAGTTAAGTGACTTGCCCAGGGTCACCCAGCTAGTGTCTGAGCCTGGATTTGAACTTGGGTCTTCCTGATTCCAAGCTGACGTGTCATCTATCTACTGTGTTCATGTTTCCATTCCCCCCAACCAGGATGGTATCTGCCCAACCTCATCGCTCCTTTAACCAATGATGATATGGACTCTGCCACCCTGTTTATTGCCTGCGTCACCTTAGGTAAGTCACCCGACATGTCTCTGGGCCTCAGTTTCCTCCTCTGTAAAACTGAGGACTTGAACCAGCTGGTAATTTAAGAGTCCTTTATGACTCTAGGTCTGGGTGCAGAGCACTGTGCTTGGTTCCCAGGGAGACACGGAGCCTTTGCAAGGCCAAATCAAACCCGCCTCCCCTGGGGCAGCCTTCCCTAACTAATATCAACTCATTCTTGCTAGCCGGCTCCTTCATGGAGACCCGTCATCTAGCATCATCACTGATATCTGTCCGATGCCTCCACCAGGTTCTGAGCTCTCTTGGCCCAGGACTGAACAGAGTATTCCGAATGCAGAAGGCAATTAGAAGCAACAACCTCAGTTGAATCAAAACAACTGGGGGCTTTGTTCGCAGCTACTGGTCAACCAAGTAGTGGCTCGTTGCTCCAGCCTGAGGTGGGCAGGTCAGCCTGACCATGCCAGGCTCCAGGGCAGGGGTGGGGGTGGGGGGGTCCCTGCACGGTCTCCATTCTTCCTACCACACCTGGGTAGCCAGGTAAGGGCAGTGTGAGCCAATTGTTATCACCTGACCTTTAGATTGGGTTGTTTGCAAAGCACTCCATATTTATTCTCTTATTTAATCCTCACTACAACACTCTCAGAGAGGTATACAAACTACTACCCCATTTTGCTAATTTAAAAAAAAAAACTTGCAGAGGGAGGAAAGAAACCAACATTTATTAAGCACCTACTATGTGTCAGGCGCTGTGCTATGCACTTCACAAATATTTTCTCATGTGATCCTCACAACCCTGGGAGGTAGGGGCTTTTATCCCCACCATTTTACAGTCCAGGAAACCGAGGCCAACAGAGGTGAAGTGGTTTGCCTACTTGAGGCAAAATTTAAACTCGGGTCTTCCTGATTCCATGCCCATCATTCTGTTCACTGAGCCACCTAGCTGACTGGTTCATTATCTGATAAATGTCTAAAGCGGGATTTGAACCCAGGCCTTCCTAACTCTAGATCCAGTGCTACCATACTGCCTTTCCAGGGGATAATCATAAAGGGGACTGAATCTCAACTCCCTTCCTTCAGTATGCGCTAGGTCTTCCCACAGTGTCTACCTCATCTAGGTGGCTGCAGTTAGACCTGGAGTCAGGAACACCCGAGTTCAAATTCAGCCTCAGACACTTACTAGCTGTGTGACCCGGTTTGCAAGTCACTTAACCTCTCTCTGCCTCAGTTTCCTCATCTGTAAAATGGAGGTAAGAGTAGCACTTATCTCTCAGGGTTGTTAAGATCAAATGAGATAATTATGAAAGGCTTTGCAAACCTCGAAGAGCTACATAAATGATATTATTATTATTATTGTTATTCACCCACCATAACCTGAGTGCCCCTAAACACTAGAGGTGCTTGTTGACCATCTGGTCTTCTCCTCCTTGGGCTGGGAGGGAGATCCCAAAGACAAGGCTCCAACTCTGGCCTCATTTAGGGGCCCCTGTGGCGATGCTGATTCTCTTCATTCCTTGCTCCATTTCTCATCAACTACAAGCCTAAGTTCAGGCTCCAAACACAGAACTCAGGCTGGGCAAAGCTGAGGTCTGACTGCAAACACTCTCCCCCATGCTCCCCTCCAGGGAGGGGCCCCAGACTCCTCAGGTGATAAACCCTCGGCTAAGATGTCACCTTGTTTATCAACAGACTGATTTAGTCAACTTCCTCCTCCTATCCAGAAGCCTAGGGTCTGGTCTATTTCTCCAGGCAATCCCCTCACCTCTTCCCTCCCTAACCAGTAACTTCCACAAATAATGGTCAGTTGACGGACAGATCCAGATCGCCTTCCTTTTCTCATCAGCTGGCCTTCCCCGCCCTGCCCCAAATCCCTAGTAAAATGAGGCTAGCTACTCGTTTGTCGGGGTGCCTGAGCCCAAGGACCTGCTTCAGTGGCTGCTGTCTATCTTCCTCCTCCCCTGGTCCAGTTCTTCTGGCCTCCTCGCTGCTGCTAACAGAGTAGGTCCTTGCGTTGCCATCATCTCAGCCACGTGGAATCCTTGGTGTCTTTTAAGACTCGGCCCAACTTTAACACGAAGCCTTTTCTGACCTTCCCCTCACTCCCATCTTAGAATTACACCCACAATTTTACATGAAAATCTTGGGTCTTATTGCCAGACTTTGGCCCCCCTCCCTTTTTTAGTAACTCTTACAGATGCCAGAGGCATCACGGTGTAGTAGACAGAGAGCAAGTGTCAGACTTGGGTTCCACGTGCTGTGGGACACTGGGCAAGTCACTTGTTTCAAGCTCTACAAGTTGCTGAGAAGGTGCTGACCCTCACTGATAGAAGACCCCCCCACACACACACACTGTCTCTCCCATTTAAAAAAAATCCTCCAGGGCTATTTTACTTTTGCTTTTGTATTCCCTGAAACCCAATAAAACTTGCTGATTGACTGGGAAGGCCTCTCCCCCTCCCCCCACACCATCCTATAGCACTCCCCTCTCTGGTTCCTTTCAAACAGGTTGGGACCATTCAGAATCGGCATGAGGGCATCTCAAATGCTACAACAGTTCCCATTTTTTTAGATGTAGCTAATGCAAAAAAAAAAAAAGGAACTAAAATGATTTCTCCCATTCTCCCCATGGAAACTGATTTGGCCGAATGCACACAAATGGTTGCTGGTACATCCAGGGCTGGAACCCAGGTCTCCTGAATCCCATTTCCATGGTTCCTTCATTGCAAGTGTCTCTCTTTCCCAACTATGCCCTGATGTTTTCCTGAGAAAGGCAATTATTATAATTTGTTACAGCTGAACCCGGCATCTGGCAAGTTACCTACCTCTAACACTAGTTATGTGATTGTGGGCAAATCGATTTGCTTCTTAAAGCCTCATTTTGCTGGTCTGTAAAATGGAATAATATTTGAACTTCCTACCTCACAGGGATGTTGTGAGGAAAAAAGTTTTGCAAATCTTAAAATGTTATGCAAGTTACTGCTAAATTTCCAAGCTCCTTGGTTGAGGAAGGAGGGCTCACTGCCCCTACCACCATCATTTTCTCCTATTAACTGTATTCCTTCCACCCTCATCCAAGATCACCACTGTCCATCAAATGCATTTAAGTCCCGTCGCCCTCACTCAGCCAATACACATCAAGAGGCTGCTCTGGGTTAGCTGGATCTAAAAGGATCCCTTAGCCTCATAAGTTTGAAGTCTATTGGTAGGGGAGCTCTCGTTTTCCTATGTCCCCGGCCACTGGAACTGGCTCTACACAGATGCTGAGTAGGAATCTGTTAAGCACAATGACCAGAGAGAAAGGAACAGGAAGCAGGCCACACGAGATTCTGGGTTCACACCTCCTTGGCCATAGGCTTGGTCTTCGAAGTCTGGAACGCATGCAGAGGTCGAGACTCTTCCGTTAGTGCCCTATCCCGCCCCCAGACCCACAGTCTCTAACCTGGGTTTCTCCAGAAGCCCTCTCAGCAGACACACACAGTTGTTCCTCCCAAGGCTGCCAAAGGTGGGAGCACTCGGGAAATGCCAGGTGCTAAAAAGAGTTTGGCCTCCACGACATGGCCGGACTGCGGGAGAGCCGGCTGGCATGGAGGGGGGGGCATCGCACAAACAGTCGATGCAACGCACAGGCTGTCGCTGGGTGGGGGACGCACCCGCTGCCACTGGGGGGGGTGCACACACGCTGTCACTGCGGAGTAGGACAGCCCGGAGCTGCAGGGGGAGGGGGGGCACACAGACTGGAGGTGCGGAGGGTGGGGGGACACAGGCTGGAGGTGCGGAGGGTGGGGGACACACAGGCTGGAGCTGCGGAGGGTGGGGCACACACAGGCGGAGCTGTGGGGGAGGGGGGACACACAGGCTGGAGCTGCAGAGGGTGGGGGGCACACAGGCTGGAGCTGCGGGGGGGCCGGGGTGAGGGGAGGTCCAGATAAGGGAGCCCAGCCCGGTCCGGTCCCTAGAGCCCCCCCGCCAGCGCCCCGCTTACCTGTCCCGCCAGGTGAGCAGCCTCAGCGCAGCTCCTCCTTCTGCGCTCACCTGGGGCCCAGGTAAACGTCTCGCGGGACGCTGCGTACGGGCTGCCGCTAGGGACATGCTTCCAAACTTCGCGAAGCCTCGCCTCATCCCCTGACCTGAGCTGGGTCGCCCCCGCCCCATCCCCAACCCCGCCAGCAGGTCATACTTCACCCTGGGTCCGAGCTCCACCTGCACCCCCTAATCACCTCTGTAAGTCCGCGTCGGGGAGGGACCTGCTTCCAGATTCCTCCAGGCACCCAGGCTCTCAGAATTGGCTTTTTTTTTTTTTTGGTTGGTTTGTTTATCTTTGAGAGGGGGAGGGGATTGGGTTCAAGTATTTTCCAGGGTCAAAACGACTGCCTCAGTCACTTAATCAACAAGCATTTATTCAGCTTCTACAGAGGCAAAAATAAAACAGCCTCAGCTCCCAAAGAAACCTACGGTCCACCGCTGGAGACAGTATGTGCATGAATAAATACATGCAAAATAGTTAAAAGATGGTGGAGGGGAGTAGTCAACAGTCAACGAACATTTATTAAGCGCCTGCTATGTGCCGGGCACTGTGCTGAGCTCTGGGGATTCAAAGAAAAGCAAACGACAGTTCCTGCTCTCTAACAAGTCATAGTCTAATAGGGGAGACAGTATCCAAAGAACCGTGAAAAAACAAGATGCAGATAAGATAAATTGGAAATAAACAACTGAGGAAAGGCATTAATATGGAGGGGAACCGGGAAAGGGTTCTCATAGATGGTAGGATATTAGCAGGGACTTGAAAGAAGCCAGGGGAACCAGAAGGTGGAGACAGGGAGGGAGAGAGCTTCAGGCATGGGAGACGGCCAGAGCCAAAACTTGGAGTCAGGAGATGAAAGTTCTTGTTGGAGGAACAGCCAGGAGGCCAGTGTCACTGGATCAAAGAGTATGCAGCCAGGAGTAAGGTGCAAGAAGACTGGAAAGGTAGGAAGATTATGAAAGGCTTTAAAAGCTGGACAAAGGGTTCTAGAAGTAATAGGGAGCCACTGAGTGTTGGAGGAACATGGTCAGATTTGTGCAGGGGTGGGGAGCTTGAGGCCTCGAGGCCACATGTGGACCTAGATGGCCTCAGGTTCCCCACCCCTGGACTTGTGTATGGCAGAGGATCCTAAATCCAGAATTTGAAGTCAAAGTTATCTATTCTAACCTCCTCATTTTAGTTTAGACCATGGGCTCCTTCAGGGTAGGGACCATTTTTCACCTTTCTATGATGCATCCCTGGCATTCACCACGCTACCTGGGATGCTTGTTGACCTCAGACCACAGGTTCAGGGACCTCAAACTGGGTGGTCATTTTCTCCAATGTATTTTGCAAACGAGGAAACTGAGGTCCAGAGAGAAGGTCTTTGTGAGGAAACCCCAGAAGCCCTAGCAGGGGAGCTGCAGGTTAGCTGGAGGAACAAGGTTATCCAAGAAATCAATTTGGGTGGTTTCATTTGGCTTCCCTGGTCTGAGATATAGTGGAAAGGGCTCTGGAGTGGGAAGTAAGACACAGATCTAGTCAGGATTGTAGGGCCAACCCTGGAAGAGGTCTTGACTTAGAGGACATCTGATTTGACTTTCCCATTTTACAGAGGAGGAAACTGAGGCTCAGAGAAGTGAGATGATTTACCCAAGATCACATATCTAATTGATATCTGAACCCTAGCCTTCTGACTCCAAACTCAGTGCTCTCACACATCGTGTTGCTTTCCTTGGATAATTCACTTCCTCTTTCTGGGCCTCAGTTTCCTTAGCTGTACAATTAGGGGGCCGGATTAGATGATCCCTAAGGACCCCCTTTCAAGTCTGATATTCTGTTGTCAAAAGTCCCTTCTAGTGCTAATATTCTGTGTTCTAAAAACTTTTCCTGCCTTAGAATCAACTCTATTTATTTTCTGTCTCCTAGCCAGTCAATTGTGTCCTCTTGTTATTGTTACTTCTAGTTTACTCTGCCTGTGTGCTAGCTACCCAACTACTGATATTCTAATTTCTAAGGCCCCTCCCAGCTCTGCCGTGCTGTGTTCCCTTCTGGTTCCAACACCAGGAGACTTCATGATGGGGGCAGTCCCACTCAATCCCCTCACGGCTGTTTTTCATCCTTGTGCCCCTAGGAGTATAAACCAGGGCTTTCTGCTTTGTTTGTAGAATTGCACTGAATTGATCCTTAGAAGAATCAGCTTCCTCCACCTGGAGCCCAATGACCCCAGTCCTGACTTACAGTCTGATTCCCCCCTCCCCAAAGGGACAGCCCCACCTGATGATGAGTTTGCTCAGCACTTATTATTCATGTCACTAGTTGTATGATCATGGGAAGGTCACCTCATCACTCTGAGCCTCCATTTCCTCATCTGCAAAATGGGAGATAAAAATAAGGTACACAATCTATTCCATACAATCAAAATTTTTATATATATATATATATGTATAAATGTATATATCATATGTAAAGTGCTTTGCAAAACATTTTAGCTATTATTGTAGTTATTAATATACCTAGAGACCTTGGAGCTCATAAAGTCCAACTCCCTAATTTTGCAGAAGAGGAAACTGAGGCACATAGCAGTTAAGTGGTTTGCCCAGGGTTACCCAGTTAGTGTCAGAGGTGGGATTTTAACTCAGGTCTTCTTGACTTCTATTGCAGTGTCCTATCTATCACTAGGCCCCAACAGAATGTAGAGTTTTGCCCTCTTCTCCTCCACGCTGCCAACCCCTTCAAAGTCCCCATCTTCCAGGAACCCTGTTAAATGTCCTCCATTGCCCTCTCAATTTCAGTGGTAGTCACACACAATAAAGTCCCATTTGTAGCCAAGCCTTCCGCTGGAACAACAGAAAACTCTGAAGCTGCAGCGTCTAAGCCAAGCAGTTTAAGACCCAGATCTTCACTCAGGACCTATTGATTTCTATTTTACACACAATTCTAAAAATAAACTTTAGGAAGGTTGTTCTTCAGCATGGGGGAATCAGAGGCTGGGTCACCCAAACCCTAGCTCAATGGCCCTGTGCCTACCCAGTTACCCACAGAGCCTGGCCCCCAGTCATGTGGCAGATGGGGATGGGCTTGGTGGTCCTTACCTTCTGCTTCTGCCTGGTTCTGAGGCTGTCTATACTATGAGAGTTGGAAATTGCACCTCCTCCAAGGGGAAGCATGATCATTTGGACATTCACCTGAAACTGGACTCATAACTGCCTGCACAGTTAACAACTAAGCATGCCCATTTGTGGGAAGGAGCTTGGAGGCCTGACTCTGATGACAGCCATCTTCCCCAAATTCTCCAGGCCAGCCTCCATGTTCTTGGAAGATTCCTTCCTCAGAGGGGCTGGGATCTGATACTTGGTGCCACTCTTTGGAATTAAAGGACAAGACAAGCTAATAGGAATAATAATAATTAATACTAATATTATTAATAATTACTAACAAGCTAATAATCAATTAAAGGACAAGATAAGCCATCAGCTACAAAAGAGAGCCGTCATACCCCTGATTGTGCCATGGCCTCAGCTGCTCCTGCTCCATCGTTGTAGGAAACCTAAGCAAGTTCTTGGGACCTGGACTGAGGACTGGAACATCACAGGAAGCCTGAACTTGGTGTCTGTGAAGAGTTCTGAGAAGCAAATCAGAGACAAGACCACCCCTGTGTATCACCTACCTGAAAGGTACCAGGCCAGAATGGTACATGTGGGCCCTTTTCTCTTTGTTATGATCTCTTTGGGATACAGACCTAGAAGTGATACTGCTGGGTCACAGTTTTATAGCCCTTTGCGCATACTTCCAAAATGCTCTACAGAAGGGTTGGACAATGCATTCGTGTTCCAATTTTCTCACATCTTCTCCAACATTTACCATTTACCTGTTTTGTCATGTTGGCAAATCTGATAGATGTGATGTGGTACCTCAGAGTTGTTTTGATCTGCATTTCTCTAATCAATAGTGATTTAGAGCATTTTTTTCATGACTATAGATAGCTTCAATTTCTTCCTCTGAAAACTGCCTGTTCACATCCTCTGACCATTTATCAATTGGGGGAGGAACAGCGTTTGCTGCCTGACAACTCCAGGAGAAATGCCAGGAATAGAACAGAGGTCTGTACCTGACCAAGGTTATTGATGCTGTCAGTTGTGAGGACTTGTGGAAGATCATGGCAAAATTTGGTTGCCTGGAGAAGTAAATCAGTATTTTATGTCAGCTCTGTGATGGCATGCTTATATGGATTCTGTATAAAGAATGACGCTCTCAAGCTTTCCCAGTCACCAACAGCAGAGTGAGGCAGGGCTGTGTCCTTGTTCCCTTGCTTTTTAGCATGATGTTTTTAGTGATGTTGTCAGATGCCTTCAACGAGGGTGAAAACAACATCAAGGTCAGCTACTGTACTGATGGTAAACTATTCAACTTGAAAAGGCTACAAGCCAAGATTAAAGTGAAGGGAGAATTGGTGCATGACTTTTTGTTTGAAGATGATTGTGTACTCAGGGCAGACTTTGAAGCTGAGATGCAACAGCATATGGATCAATTCCATGCTGCTTGTGCTAATTTTAGCCTAACAACCAACACTAAGGAAACAGAGGTTCTCCACCAGCCAGTACTGCACCATCTATACATG